AAATATATATATTTCATTTTTGCATTATAATTATTTTAGTTGATTAATTTGTAGTAATTGAATAATTGTTATTCATTGGTCCATTGTATTTTTTACTGTCTAATAATATGAGTTAGCTGGACAAAGTATAAAAAACAACATAAAATAGCATAAAAACAAATGTGCAGAACAAAGTACTAGATGCAGGGTAAAATGATAATGAATGGCAAATAAACATGAAGGATATCAAATAGAACATTTGAATTTTTGCTTTACATTTTCAAAAACTACAATTTTATGCTTAGTGATTGAACTATATTTTTATACTTGCATTTGGTGTGTGTAAGTTGTTAACATATTGAATCAAATGAATGTTTTCATTCCTGCGGCCACGTGAAATCACGAGCTGACGGATACAAAGTTTAGTTCATATAGGAGTTATAACTATATACGTTTAAGCCACAAAGGTCAACAAAGAATTTTCATTCTCAATGTCTTTTGCTATAAAATTTTAAAAAAATATTTGATTCATATATTGAGACTGCAAAAATCAAGAAAGTGGGGATAAAAACAGATTTTTCTAAGAAGGGATCAAACTAGTTCCAATTATAGTACTAAAAAGGAATAATGCATATGTTCACAGGAACCATCTTTTTTTGTTCAATCTAGAACCATGGAAAAAATAATCAGTGGAATGGCTTGGCTATTGAAGTTGTGCATGCTCCATCACTGGAGGTTTTTAAGAAGGAATTGAACAGACATTTGTCTGGAATGGTATCTCCTGCTTGAGCAGTGACTTGGATTAGAAGACCTTCAAGGTCCCTTCCAACTGTGTAATTCTATTATTTGGATAATAATGCAGCATTCTACATAGATACATTATAAATTGCTGGCATATGAACAACATTAAACCTTGATTAAATGAAATTTGAATGGTAGGGGTGTCCATTCCATCTGTCCAATCTGTGCAATTAACATAATAATATTTGCATACATAAATTAGTGTAAAATACAATACATACTTACACAAAAGTGCATTGATGCAAATCATGTCAATTGTATACAGTAAACTTCTTTGGAAATACTTGGCTTTGCCCATTGTTTGGAAATGAAATGTTAAATAATTTTTTTCCTCTTGTATCTGAGGTTTGGACCTTTACTCCAAACGGAGCTTTACTATAATGCTTCTTTCAAACCATAGAAAGAGAAGGAAAACATTGTCATTTCATATGGATGCAAATCAGGATTTATTTTGGATGCTCAAGCCAAACTATAGCTGCTTAATGAGAATATACTTCAGATGTATTTTGGAAAGAATGCTAATTTGTATAGGTATTTGGGCCTTTTAAGTTTAATGTTACATAAATACTTATATTTCAAGTATAAAATATAAATTGCATTGATTTTCATATACTGCATTGACTTTATTTTATCAACAGTTGGCTTTGCTAAAAATCATGCTATTGATCAGAGCTCAGGGGAGTATCTCTGCTTTCTGGACTCGGTAAGTCTTTTCCAGGAATTGTTTATTAAATGTAATATAAAAATGTATATTTTCAACTGTCTTGTTCATCTCTTTTTCTTATCATATAAATGTGGCTGATAGTTTTTGATAGATTTATGTGTGTTTCATGGAGAATTATTTGATACATATTGCAGCTATTTCTACATAGACCCTTACTTATTAAAATAGGATTATAAAGACTATAGTGTCACCAGAAGTGAAGGTTGCTGAGATTCCCATAAATAGCTAGTGGGCCACATTTTTTTGATCTTTGATTTAATGATCAAAATTGAAATGACACACTCCATTGATTTGGAACAATGGAATGTTACAAACTATGACATTGCTTCAGGCATAAAGTAAGACAATTTTATTCAACAAGGTGCTCTCCAAATGTTTTTGATTATTGTTCCCATAATTCTCATGGTTGACTTTCGAAGTGTTTGAACCTTTCCCATTCTTTTTTAACCATATAAGTTAAATAGGTGGTACTTTTACTTCAAGTCCAGTATCTTAGATAAAAAATACATATATTAGTTGTGTGAGAAAATTTAGTGGTAGTCCATGGGGTCACAACAGCATTGCTAACTAATTCTTTCAGATTCTCAGAATAGTGGAGTGGGACTTAAATAAGTTACGTTATGTTCTGTTTAAATATTCAACATTGCAGGTAAGAGCTTCTACAAGTGAACCCAGAATTGATGAGATCATGTTTCTTAGGAGGATGAATGCTTTAACTACAGCAACAAATGACACCTTTTCTTTTCCTCCAGAGACCTTCTCTGTGTTGCTGCCAGAAGCATGTAAGCATTTGGCAATTAGGAGGAGGCTAATCTAGCAGAAATGCTGCTTTTGGCAGATTGCTATATTAATTGTCTTGCCAGAATCATTTAGACCTCCCAGTGTGCTTTTCGTTCTTTTACCTTAAAGGAGCCATAACAATGATGAGAACAAAACTAGAGACAGTTAATTTCTAATATAAGCAAACAAGCTTTATTGAATTAGCTTACTGTATGAATACTGTATGAATAATTAGTCTTATATGTCTGCACAGTTCTAACTTCAAATCCTTCCTTATCAAATATAAATTTGCACCTGGAATTTTACATCTCAAGAAACCCTCTGTACTGTAGATGCTTCTATTATAATATTGCTATCATGAACAATTATAGTTAAAGTTGTTGGGATAGCTCATCCACATCACAGGTGTCAACCTCATGGCATCAAATTGCTGTAATGTGACATTTTGCAACATTTTTTTCCTTAGTGGAGCTGGGGTGGGCGTGGCTTGCGCATAATGCATCTGGCTCACGGGTGGCCAGTTTGACACTCCTGAATTACATGATGAATACATAAGAAAAAACTTAAACAATCAGAGTCTCTCAGGTATTAATTTTTAGTTTGCTGTTGCTACTTCTCAAAAGTTACTTAATAAGGTATCTCTAATGTGGTAAGCTTATTTAGAAAATTGTGACAGTTCGTCAGTATATATTTTTTACATTAAAAAAATATGGGCTACTTATTGGTCACTAACTGAATTAGTTGGCCAATGAAACTGGGAAGTTAATCCCAGTTAACTTTTGTTTCCCCATCCAGTCTTTTCCCCCAGTAGAACTTCAAAACTAAAAGTCAAGTTTGAAGATCTAGATTTTAAAGCTTATGTCTANACGACCGCACCACAGCAGGGAACAGCGGAGTGCCAACGGGAACTGTGAGTGCCATTAGCAGCAACTATAAATTGCGCAAAATTATGTTTTTGTCGAAGTGACACACAACGCGAGTTATGCTCGATTTTTTGCCGATTTTTGACACACCACGCCAAAAAGGTTGCCCATCACTGACCTATAGTGTACCTGTGCATTTCGTTTTTCTTGCCTAAATGTATAACCTTACTTCACTTAACATTCTGCTTTTGAGGATTTTCCTTCATCTAACAACCGACCTTCCTTAAACATTCAGTTTCGAAGACAAATATCTATGCCTGGGCTGGAGAGGTGCAAAATGAAGTACTCCTCTGTTTATGTTTCTGTTTAAAAGGAAAAAGAACAACAAAGGCCCGGCATTCAAAACCCAGCTCCTTTGTTCTTATGATCTTCCCTCCCATTGTTCAAACAACACTTCAGCTCTTCTGACCTGCCCCTGCCTGGCTATCCTTTGCATGAGTTTAGAAATACAGTTCAAGAATGTGGTGACAAGGTTTCCCCTTGAGCAATGTTTACCCTGTTCCTGTCTGCGACCTCCACTTCTCCTGGCCAGAGTCCATTTTTCAAAGGGTGTCCTCCCATGAGAAGGGATGGGAAAACAGGGAGTGAAAAGACCTCTTCAGAAGAAAGCCTCTTGAGAACTTTGACCATGTAAGGTTGGGTCTATGCAAACAGCCATAGATCCTAGATCAAGGTTGGTCAAGTATGGCCCCCTTTAGCACCTGTGGACTTCAATTCCCAGAATTCCTCAGCCATGGCTGGCTGAGGAATTCTGGGAGTTGAAGTCCACAGGTGCTAAAGGGGGCCATACTTGCCCACTCATGTCTTAAATGGAACGCCGTGCAGTGACGTCTAGGACAAGGGTCTCCAAACTTGGCAGATTTACGTCTTGTGGACTTCATCTCCCAGAATTCCCTAGGAGTACGGCCGGCTGAGCAGTTCTGGGAGTTGAAGTCCACAAGTTGCCAAGTTTGGAGATCCTCATTAACAGATCTCCTCAAGAAGGCAATGAACTATTATTCCTGATGGCCACGTGATGCCATTGCTTGGCACTTGGCACTGGTAGTCCTCGAATTATAACCACAATTGGGATAACCAACGTTTCTGTTGCTAAACCTTCTTAAGTGAGTCCTGCCAAATTTTGTGACTTTTTTTTGCCCCAGCTGTTAAGCAAATCACGACAGTTGGTAAATGAATCACACAGTTTCTCATTGCCAATTAGAAAAGTCACAAATGGTGATTACATGACCCTGGGACAATGCCTGTTGCAAGGGCCCAAATTTTGATCACACGGCCATGGGGATGCTGCATGTTGTAAGTGCAAGGACCAGTCGTAAGACTCTTTTTTTCCATTGCCATTGTAACTTCAAAGAGTTGCTACATGAATGTTTAGAGCAGGGTGAAATGCATCAGGTTCTGGAGAACTGGTAGAGGAAATTTTGAGTAGTTTGGAGAACCGGCAAATACCACCTCTGGTGCGGTAGGAATGGAGATTTTGCAATATCTTGCCCCCAGGAGTGGGGAGGGAATGGAGATTTTGCAATATCCTTCCCCTGCCATGTCCACCAAGCCACGCTCACAGAACCAGTAGTAAAAAAAAAAATTGAATTTCACCACTGGCTTAGAGAGTAGAATAATATTTCAGGAGTGGGGTGTTGGGAGACAAAGGGAGGCAAAAAGAGAAAGATGAAAGAGGCTAGTCCTGACCTTTACGCTACCCTGGCTTGGTGCCAGCGTACAAACCCTAGAAAATTAAACTCAGGAGAAAGTGGCATTCAATAAAAATGAAATATGATCCCTCTGTTTTAATGGGTGGCTACTACAAGCAATATACATAACTGAACCAGAGATAGGGAATGCTGAAATGTTTGAGATTTTGTGACGGGCACGTTCATGGTAAACTTTTGATGATTCCTAAAAGTGTTGGGATAGAATAATAGAGTGGAAGTTTTGGAAGGAATTTGGGAGGTCAAAGGTCATGAGAAAGTATTGATTTAAAAAAAGAAGTGCGGTCGCATTTACCAGGTAGCAGCTGATGAGGTTGTTTCTCACCTTTTTCTCAATCTACCATTGGCATACAGGTAGTCCTTGACTTATAACCATCTGTCCAGCAATTGTTTGAAGGTACAAAGGCATTGGATAAAATGATTTATAACAACAGGTAATGCTCGACTTAACAACAGTTCATTTAGCCCCCGTTCAAAGTTACAATGGCACTGGAAAAAAAAATGTGTCTCATGACCATTTTTCACACTTATGACTACTGCAGTATCCCCATGGTCACGTGATTAAAATTCGGATGCTTGGCAATTGTCTCGTATTTATGACCGTTGTGGTGTCCCGAGGTCATGTGATCCGCTTTTGCAAACGTCTGGCAAGCCAAGTCCATGGGGAAGCTAGAGTCATTTAACAACCGGGCAACTAACTCAACAACTGCAATGATTCACTTAGCCACTGCGGCAAGAAAGGACGGGAAAAAATGGGGCAAAACTCACTTTGCAAATGGCTCACTTAGCAGCATACATTTTGGACTCAATTGTGGTCGTAAGTCAAGGTCTGCTTTGCTGTCTATAACCATTGGACCCAGAATCAAAATTCTGGAACTTGGCATTTATTTGTGAAGGGTTGCAGCATCCTGGCGGGGGTGAGTGGGGGTGGGGGTGGGGTGTCATCTCATGCACATTTGAAGGGGTGAAGTTTGTGGCTCAAACGTCATCATAGGTTATAGGTTATAGGTTTATTTCATTATATGCCACCCTATTCCCGGAGGGACTCAGGCCGGCTACAAACCCAGGGGAGGGAGTAATACAGACAAGGCAAAAACAACAAACAGGATACAGAGAAAATTTTAAAACAATCAACAGTCACACAATTCAAGCGGGGAAGGGAACTCATCAACCCCAGGCCTGTCGGAACAGCCAGGTTTTAACGGCTTTNTCTCCAGACCACACTTTTAAGAACCTCTGGCCTGAAGGAAATGCAACCTTTTCCCAAGACTTGGTTTTCCAGATCAGGGTAGCGTTCCTCCTTGTCTTAAGTTTTCAGGAAAAAAAAGGAATAAAATCAAACAGCCCGAGGTCTAACCGAAGAAGCCTTACCGGAGGTTTCTCAGGGCCTTTCGCGTTTTCGGCTTCCTCTGCGATTGTAACGCATCTGGTCCGCAGTAAGGCGAGAGAGAAGCATAGCCGTGTTCGGCTTCTGGCGCGTGTGAATATATAGATATAAAGACGTATAAGTATGTTTTAAAGGTTTCAACCTGCCCTCGCTTTCCCACTCGCTCCCTTCCTCCCGAGGAGACCCAGTTCAGCCGCCCTCCGGTTAAGAGCCATATACGCGTCGCCCCTTTTTACCGCCCTTCGAGAATAATACCTCTCTCTCTGCGCTCCAAATAGTCGGCCGCTTGAAGCAACACCTGAATGTTGCTACTCGTGAGCTCCATGACAACAGCGGACCCGCGCAAGTAAGGACTCTGCAGCCCTGGTCACGCAACCGCCCCCACCGCCTTCAGCAACCAACCCCGCCCCTTCGAACGCTCCAGGGTTCTGGTTCCACCCCTTCTCATCCACAGTAGCAGTTCTTCCTTCGTGGATCTCCTTCGGGCAGCGCCAACCAAGAAGGATGAAGCCAAGCGGACTTTTTTTTTTTTTTGCTTTCGTCTTTCGAACCGCTCAGCCACCCCGACTCCCCACCTCTCCTCGATTTTTAGGTTCGGGGCGTCCTCGCTGCCTTGTTTTGAATCTTAACCTGTGCAGGGCGGGGCTAGAGAAAACAGCGCTGTCATTGGTTGGAGGACGTGACCAGACGTTTATCCGTCACCGCCTCCTTGAAACAAATTCGGGCGGGTAACGATGAAGTCTTATATTTGAACGGAGGGCGGGGCCTGCGCTTGGCTTGTTGTTTGGAGGAAATAGAACGAGACACATTTTAATGCTGCTTGGGCACAGCTCGGTTTTATAAATTAGATGCTTTCGCTTTCGTAAATTATAGACTTTTATGTGTGTACATGGTAAGTGCATGAAAAAAGAGCGTGATAAAATATCCCATGATCGTTGTAGAGTAGAATAGAATAGAACCTGGAAGGGACCTTGGAGGTCTTCTAGTCCAGCCCCCTACTCAAGCAGGAGAACCTATACCATTTCAGATAAATGACTGTCTAATCTCTTCTTAATCTCTAGTGATGGAGTGCCTACAACTTCTGAAGACAAGCTGTTCCACTGGTTAATTTTCCTGTTAG